ATGAAACCAGAAACACCCCCCCCCACCCCTTCCAAGTAGGATTTTACCAACCCAGGCAAATATTGAACTTTATGTTAGCAAACAGGTTTTACTTTTCATAGGTGGTTCTTCAAGGATTTTTTTGGTTTTGGTTTTTGAAGGGTGTAAGGTTTGCTGCTAGAAATGCCTCTTTTTTATTCACTTGCAAAGACACATTGTTGTCATAAACAAAAGGTTTGGAACGATAGCCCAGCAGTAATGTAAATTTATGTAGGTGCTTAAGCCCCACAAATTACACAGCTGGCTGCTTGCGGCCAATCCATTGCACTTGGTGTCTACAGCCTTCTGACAGGGAGACTCCACTGTCTCTCTATTTTTCTGACCATCTTCTTGCCAGTAACCTGGCAATAGCATATATCTTGTTGAGAACAGAGGCCAGAACTCTTTTGGTAAATATAACGTCTGCTTGTGGAAAATCAGTCTTCCCTTTACTTAACATAGGGTGGTTTTAAAGTTTGTATCAATTTAAAATTTGAACCCCACCCCCCCCACTGGACGACATCGCTAATGCATTTGAATGGGCTTATTGTCTCTTGTCCATTTCCTTCAGATGCTGGCAGGAGCGCCAGCCTCGTTGCCAAGACCAAAAGAACTCTATATGATGGCGCATTCTCTGCCAACGCAAAGTAAAGCCAGCTTGGCAACACTTAGCCGTTGTTGTGAAGGCCCAGGCATCGTAAGCATATTAATGTGGCTAATATTCTATTACTCATGTCTGTTTCTGTACAAATGATCCTGAATTTTGTACACAAGAAAATTCGCCTCCCTCGCGTCAGGCAGCAGTTTCCTGGAAAAACCACAGTAACCTTCTGTAAATGAACCAGAGTAAATGGATTCTTGTAAAGGAAGGAGCAAAGGAGAACTCCTGGGAGTGCATTGCTTACCTCGGTGGAGAAGGCAACCTATCAGGGTATTTTTAACAAACAGAATCCCTCGTTGAAATCGTCAGTTTCCAAACTGCAAACTGAATTCAGCATACACACACACACACACACACACACACACACACACACACACACA